AGGTGCAAGTGGAGGAGTGGGGAATCAAACCTGGTTCTCCCAGATTAGAGTCCGCGCACTTCACCACAACACCAAACTGCCACCCCCCCAGTCACTGGCAAAGAACACCCATTATTCAGACCCTCCTGGTTTGGAGGCAGCCAGCATTTGATTTCTGGGGGCTGTGGATTGAGCGGGAGGGGGGGGAAGTGACTTCCTCCCTGCAGCTCTGGGGAAGGCGTTCCTTCGGGGCTGGTTTCCTTCAGAGCCACCCAACTGATGGGGATACCTGGCACCCTCCTTCCCCCACTCAGGTTTGGTGCACATTTTGCCACTGTCCCTACCCTCCTGGGCCGGAGAGCTTGGGGGCTGGCTTGTCTGCCTCAGGGATTCCTCCCGTCCTGACAGGTTTGTGGGCCTTCCCGCACGACTCCCGGTGGGATTGTCGAAGACCTGCTGACGCCGTGTTCCCCTGGAGACCCTGGTGCTATTGAAATGACGTGGATGGAGGTGCCTGGCGACAAACTTATGGAGCCCGTTGTGTGCATGGTGAGCAAGTGGGAGCCAAACACCAACCTGGGCCAAGGCTGGTTCAGGGCCGTGTTTTTCACAAATCCCAGTGTGCTCATTGCTAGCCGTATCTCCAAAAGGTACTGTTTGGAAACACACAAGGGTGTGTATGTGTCACCTTGCCTTTTATGGCCGTGGCTGACGAACAGGCGCATCGATCCGTCAGCCCACCGTCCCCGTCCCCCCCAAGTCTCTGAGCCTCTCCCTTCTGTCCCCACAGTCGGACATGCTGCGTTCTCTGGCCACGACCCGTCCTACTGTCAATGCAGAGGATCTCCTGAAGGTGAAGAAATTCACAGAAGACTTTGGCCAGGAGGGCTGAAGCTTTTTGCAGGGGCAACACCGGAGGGGGGGGGTTTTGGCCCAGCCCCGTGCATCGGAAGCCTTTTCTGCCGACGGCGGGCAGTGCCAAGCAGAGGGGAGCACCCGGCTTCGTACTGCTCCTGTCTGCACTTTGGGCCCGTTCGGCTGTGGAGCGAAGGGGGGGGCGGCGACATGCAGAGAACTAGACCTGGCCCTGCCTGACCCTTCCCTCTGGGCCCCCCGGGTTTCTCTTTTGCTCAATCACTCTTTAATTTATGCTGTTTGGTTCTGTTTATATAAGTAAAAACACTTCCAAAGCTCTGCTGTGCCCCCCCTCCTTTCCCCAAGGCCCTCTCAGAGCCGGTACTTTCAACACGCCTCCCCAAGAAGAGGACTGGATGGGGGGGGGGCAGGCTGTGCTCTGGAGGCTGCTGCTCACTCCTGGCAAGCAGCAATGCTGTGCCATGTGGTTTGCACTGGACTCGGCCCCTCTGCCCGTGAGACCCTTGCCTACCAGCTTCCTCCTGTGGCTTAGGCAGCTGGGGCAGGTGCTGATGCGCTGCAGGGCGCTCAGGAAAATGCTGCATGGGAAGCTCTGCCGGCTCTTCCCAGGCAAGTGGCCAAGCTGGGTCTGCAGTGCGAGATGCAGCGTCCGGAGGAGTCCTCTTTGGCCGGTCCCAATGGCAGATCTGGGGGAATCCCGACCCTCTTTGTGGCTTCTGCCCCTTCTCATGCCTGGAGCTTCTGCGAGCCAAGGAACGGGGGGGCCTTTGTTCCCCCCCCCCTTGTCCTCTTCTGCTCCCCACCGTGGCCTTTTGCCATACCTGGCTGGCGAGAGAGGCATTACCCTGGCAATACTCTGTTGGTTTTCCAAGAGGCGAACGGTGGCCTTGTCCTGTAGTTGCCCAGCCTCTCTCCGTCAGGGACTGGGCTGCAGTCTGAGTTCTTCTGGGGAAGACTGAGGTGCTTTGGAGGGGGTGAGGGTGGGGGGAAGCTGAGGGGAGCCCCTGCTGACAGGTGGTGGGAACCACGGGCTGTTCCAGGGGTGCAGGCCCCTTTCCCTTTCTTGCCCTCTGTACATAATTTTAGTTGATTCTTTTGTGGGTAAAGGGACAGTGTGGGGGGACAATAAAAACATTGAAAACAGCGGCATTTGTTGTTTTTCATGTATTGTCTGCTTGCTATTTAACCAGGACAAATCAGACAAAATGCCTAGGACACCCCCGCCCCCCCGTTTCAAAACCTTTATGCATTCTCCTGCAGCACCATTCATTACCGGGTACTTCTAATGCAGGCCTCTCCGGAGCTGTTGGGTTCCTCCCCCGGCTGGTGCAAAGGGCCGGTGTGTGGGCGTGGGTGTGTGCTAAACAGCGTTGGTCTGCCTTTGCCAGGCTTCATCCGGAGTCTTGAGTGTGGGTGCAGGGCTGACCCCATTCCCTCCCCCGGCGATCAGTGCCTGCCCTCAGCCAGCTACAACAGGGTAGACCAGACTGAACGTGGGGGGCCTTTTGCGGCTCCCCTGCAAGGATTCAGCGTGCCACTTGGATCAGGCCCCCAGCACTGCTGCAGTGGCCAGAGATGGCCTGGCTGGCATAAGAACCCGCAGTGACTCATTCCAGCCACCCCCTTTTGTGGACAGGCCCTGCGCAAGGGCTTGGTGGGCTCAGCCCCTTCCCACGCTGGAGGCAAAGCAGAGGCCACCCCACCCCCACCCCCGTGCGGCCGATCTTCAGTCCTGCAGCTCGGCCCAGTGCACGTTGGTGAAAGTCCTGCTGTCCATCTTGTCGATGTACAGGATGCCCTGCAGGTGGTCCATCTCGTGCTGGACGATGCGGGCTGCCCAGCCGGTGGCCTCGACTGGGGCTCGAAGAAGCGGCCGCTCCCTTCCCAGCCAGCTGGCAGCCCTACCTCCCGCCCTGCTCCCTGCCGGCCTACCTGTGACCTGGACGGCCTGGTAGCGGGGCACGTAGGCCGAGAAGCCGCGGAGGCTGCAGCAGCCCTCGGGGAGGGCGAGGAGGCGGGCGTCGAGGACGCGGAGGGCCGGGTTGACGAAGACGCGCAGCGGGAAGGGGCGCATCTGGCGGCGGCGGCGCTCCTCGGCCGGGGTCTCCTCCACCAGCCGCGCGGGCAGCTCGGCCACGAAGACCTGCAGCGGCACGCCCAGCTGGGGCGCGCTCAGCCCCACGCAGCCCTCCCGCCGCAGCC